ACACGTGGCTCCAGTGAAGATTCACGGCTTTTACCTCCTTCTGGCAAACCCTTGGACTGTGCCCCAACTGCGCAGTAAGGAACACTGGCTCTGCCACAGTTCTTGGGGCTTCTGGGCATCCCAAGATATAATCCGAATAAAAAGTCTCAGTTAATGGAGTCTCAGGCTTTATAAAAGAGCATGAAAAGTATGATATGGCTGCCTGCCTGAGCTGTGGATTCTGCTGGAGAGATGGATCCTTAGTTCTGGGGTTTTTAATCTCCTTTTCCCTTGGGTGCTCTGTCCTTTGTAACTGTTCAAAGCAGCTGCAGGACTTTTCAAGACACTTCGAGCTCTAGTGATGTGCATCTTCCCAGTAAGTTTTTCAGAAAGATTGCACTTCAATGGGTACATGTCAACAAATTGCTGTCAAGTTCTGTTTTGTGCCTGTGCACCTTGACTTCAAAAATAAGGCCACAAAAGCGTTGGGGTGCTTTTTGGGGTATAGGTTCCTTATAAAGCACCTTCCTACTGTTTGATAATTAACCCCTCTGTAGCCCCTTTAGTGTCCTAGGCTTCTTTCTGAAGGATCATTTAGTTGTAAAAAGGATTGTCTTACTGTGCATAAAACAGCTGCTCAGAGCTTTGGGATCTCACTCTTTTAAGTGGCCATCCAGCACCACTTACACGCTGGGATGGTGAATGCTCTAGGGGTAAATCCATTTGTGGTCCATGTTGTTACTGTTTCCAAATGCATTCTTTAATACTAGAGTAATCTAACTATATTGTATCTTACTGCTTAAAGATAAGACAGGAATTGGGAAGGAGGTGGAAATTCTAGGTGTTGGCTGACCACAGAGGTGAGGGTCATGCTTTAGAATTTGTAGATATTTAACCTTTAAGCAGTCCTCATTTAATTGTAAGAAAGCATTCAGAAATAATGACTGCCCAATTTGTATTTCAAAGCACTAAATTTAACTTTAATATTGCCACCAGAGGGCAGCATGTTACATGAGCTGGCAACGCGGAACCTGATAAATTCTGACTTTAAACAAAGATGAACTTGTAAAATCTAAGTTTTGAAAAGTATCGGTGATTCATTACAAGTTTTTCTTGTTATGTTCAGCTTGTAGCTAAGTCCTCAAATACTTGGCATGGCATTAGCTTTCTGAGAAAGAGAAGTGATGTTATTGACATCTGCCAAGGGAAAACTAAATGTACCTGTTCTATACCTTGTATTCTACTGCCCTTAGCTTATTACTCCTGCATACAACTTCCATAAGACAGAGGGATCAGGAACTTATCCCTTACTTCCTGTGTTGTTTTTACCAGTTACAGAATTCATTCTTCCCATTTTTGTCTCAAGAGTGGTAAACCTACATTACTTGTTTACTTTGTGTGATAAAATGGATGTCAAAGTTGATTTAATTCTATGTTCAGTGTTTTTAGGATTAATTTATCTTAAATGCAGCATCTGTACTGTTTGGTAGTTGGGTTTTTGTGTTTTGGGTTGTTTGGGTTTGTTTTTTTTTTTTTTGAGGTGAGCATTGTGAGACTTGACTTCTTGATTCCCACGTAGCAATATGATCTCAGAAACTCCTTATACAAATCATCTAAAGTGATATTATGCTGGTATATTGGGACTCAAAAACCTCCTTCATTAGCTTTGCAATAGGTGCGGGTGTGACACAACAGGCAGATCACATCTTACAAGACTCACTTTCCCACTTGTACAGTAATGTAATTTTCCTCAGCAGGGTATTACTGTTATTAGAGAACCTAGTTATAGTGTGAACACTATATTGAAAAATTGAAAAAACATGTTATATTAAAACAAATCACTGAATAACTTGTATACAACCTTTTTTTTTAATGCTGTGGTACAGATACATTCAGTAGTCTCATGCATAAAAGCATGAGTAATTTGTGATTTAGAAAGATTAAAACCAAGAGTTAAACCTTAAATGTAGACATTTTCCTGAAGTTACGTTGTTTTCTTTAATTTTCCTGAAATGCAGTCCAGAATTTTTATATTTGGAAGTCTAACATACTATTTTTGCAAAAGTCTTTCTCTTCCTTTTATGAGTAATGGAGGTACTGTATACTAGGGCCTTGCCATCTTTTAGGTGATTGAGCATAAATCTAGATTGAATCTGGTACTGCCTCTCCTGGGTGGTGAAAATAAACCTGGACCTGTGCTGATTTGGGGTGGAAGTGCTCGAGTATCTTTGTATAGTGTTTTAGTAACAGCAGCGTTACGGGAATGTACAGTGCAAGCGCAGTAGGCTTGGTAGGCAGCCAGCTGAGTCCCTGTGGGCTTACTGGTTGAGGTCTTGTGTTGTGTGGAAGTGGCTAAACTGCACCTGGATCCAAGTTGGCGTGTGAAGTGCTACAGCTGTGTTCTTGCAGTCCCCTGCACATGGTCTAATAAATCCAAACTGGATTTGAGGGGAAACCGCGCTGTCTTTTTGCATCCATGGCTCAGTTAATCTGCAAATAGGATAAACTGCCCATAAATAATTGAGAGTTTATAGTATACTGCATGTTCCAGATAAGAGTTAGAACATGCAGTATTAAAAGAGATTTTTAGAAGTAGTCAATTATACAGAGTTCACCTTCTTGTCCTTGCTAATTGGGGCACTACCATGCAATGCCAAAATCTGATGTGATATTCTTAAAGTGAGTAGACTGCCGTTTTCAGTAAAGTTCTCAGGTGGTTATTTTGAGTCTGCTTACACTTTGAAGTGTAAGCTAACTTAAAATACATGGATGCAAGAAACAAATGGAAGTCTCAAGGGATGCAAGTCTCTTTTCATGGCTGATTAGTAGTAATTTTTCAGAATCCGTACCAACTGAAGAAAACATGAGGTAGATTTATTATGTGCTATATTGTTGTCAAACCATTGTTTTCAAATAGGAATTATTTATATGTGACCCAGTGCAGCCTGGCATTTTGCCATGCAGAATAACAGTACGTGCTGTTCTAACACTGATACGTGGTGCACCAGAATCACTGATGGGAATGTGGTAATCAGATTATGTCTTTTCAAGACAACTGAAATGATAGAACGGGATGAATGGAATATTTGGATTTTTCAGATCAACGGTTTCTTAGGCAATATGTTTAATATTAAAATGGACTGTACTGAAGTCAGTATGCCTTTTTGCTCTGTACAGTACATGTGTAATAACTATGATGAAGGTGGGGGGGCATTGAGTGCGGTTAAATCACACTGTGTTTTACAGTGCATTTTACTATTTTTGTGAGGATAGATGCGTTCCTGCGGTGAGCTGTTCTTGAGCGTAGCATACAGAAGACATTTTATACTCAGTTGTGTTAGTTTGGAGTTTGTAGTCTTAAAATTCTACTTTTGTTGCTCTAAAGTGATTTTTATAGATCTAACATATTCTCATTAAAATAATTCTAAGAGCCTAGGCGATCATCTAGAATTGTTAGAAGTGCCAATTGTTAAGTGCTTGTTTACATGAAGTTACCATAACACATTTTTAAGACTTCCAAGTTCTGTTTAATGTCCCACTGAAATAGAAGCAAGCAAGTATCCTCACAGATTCCAGCTGTGTGGATTTCCAAAGTTTTTGACTTATACTTTTCGGTAGGCCCATTATGAGGCCATTACAATAATTAGTGTGTTATCAGAAACGAAGATAAGTTTGAATTTTTTTTTCTTACATTGAAAACTTCAATTTCTGAGGAATTTGAATCAATTCGTAGTTGGCCAAAAGCCAATTTTTCTCCTCGACTCTAATGCGTGTTTGAAAAACGAACTCACTTCCTAAGTGCCTTGTGAATCTGCAATGATTAATTCTTCTCATTATTTTGCTGCAAATTCTCATGACCCTCTGTGATGATTCGATCACCCACTTAGAGTTTATGCATATTCATATCTTTCCGCTCCTGCTGCAGTCGTTCAAGGCTCCTTCACTGGCTGTGGTGTGTGCTTGGTGCAGTAATTGAGCTGCAGTAGATTGATTACTCTGGGGAGCTGTAAGGCCTTTAAAGGTGAAAACATATCAGTCCTGTTAATTAGGAAACAAAGCTCTGGTGGCAAGTTCAGCAGTCAAATGCTTCCAGTGTAGAAATGAGGAAAGGTATGATTTGTTCCTCTCAATGAACCCTGTTTACTTTTTTATATTTGAATTAGATCTGTATTTGCTGTAATAGGCTTGCGCAGAAGATAGCGTATCTTGTATGATTGCATGGTGTTGGTATTTTAAAACAGAACTATATGTTGATACTGATTGTAATTATTAGCTGCTGTTAATCACCTCTTAAATTATACATTATTTTAGGCATTACTTGACCTATAAAGTTAAATGAGAGAAGAAGAATGGAATCATTGATTGTAAACTTTAACCAAAAACATTTATGTCATTCACTTCTTCAGACCTGAATGTCGAAGTCTTTTCTCTGAATTAAAACAATAGATTTTCAGAAATCATAATAAAACCTGGGGCCTCTCCTTTCTACTATTAAGATGTCTATTGCCTAGTGTGCAAGATTAATTAAAAAGAATACGTTCTAAAAATTAGGTGAATATTAAATGATAGCATAAGGTTTCATCGAGCAGACAGCATCCTTACATCATCATTGTAAGTACCCTGTGGTTTTATGTTGCTAAGCACTCTAATCTAGAGTGGCCTATTACAAAGATATTAAGGGTAGGGGAAACCATCTGCCACACAATCTATCCATAAGGGTCAGAAATAAATAATTTAAAAGTAATTTATATATCTTAAAAACCACTTTTTCCCTGTAATTACTGGACAACAGATTGTAGAATACAGATGTTATGAAAACGCCACTGTTTTTGTGAACAGCGTGTGATCTATTGCTACTTCAGAGTGGGTTCTAGGATGCTGTTGTCATACCTGTTCC